TATGGACCTGAGCCATTTGGAGGAAAATGGACCCGCCCACATACCTGGAGGATATTAACAATTCATTTTGTAATTATCAGGACTGTAGGCTGTGGATCTGGGAGGAGGACCTACTTTTCAGTCCACTGCAGTGTTATTTGTTTGTTCTGTAATGCCATCTCTTTATTCACAAATTTTTTGTAATTAAATCTTTTTGTTAATTTTAATTTGGACCCAGCCTCTGCTTTCTCAAAATCTGAAAACGCAACAAGGCCTATTATGACACTATTATTCAGAAAAAAGTCACATTAAGAAGTAAGCTCTTTGCATGATTCGAACCTGGACCTCCTGAATGCAGGACAGCCATATTGTGTTAGGATTTAGTTTGGTGCTGTTGTTTTTGTCTGTGTTTATTTGATATTGTCATGGTTTGGAGTTTGGTAGTCTAGTTTATTATTTCGTTCATTTGCCTTAAGTACTGTCTTGTCTCATCGTGTTTCCTTAGTTCTGTGTCTCAGTTCATGTCTTAGTGTTTTCTCCAGTTCTCTGTAGTTCTGTTATTTTGTCCATGTTTGTGCTGTATTCTGTTTAATCTTAGTTCAGTCTGTTTTCCCTGTTAGTTGTTAGTTTATTGGTGTCTCTGTCTTCCCTGCTGTCTCTCTGTGTCTCGTTAACCTTGATCCCCGTCACCTGTGTAGCTCCCGCCCTGCTCGTTACCTCTGTGTATAAATGTCTGGTGTTTCTGTTCATTCCCTGTCCGGTCATTGTTGTGTTCAGTCGCTTTGCAGTGTGTTATGGTTGCCATTTGTCTTGCCTGCCTGTTTCCAGCCTGTACTTCTTTTGTTCTTTGGATTAAGGATCTTTCCTCGTTTCTCTGGATTTTCTGTTGGTTTCCCGTTTGTTTGGATTCCCTGGACTTAGCCACTACATTGTAAGTGTGCACGCTTTTCATTGGATTAAACCCTTTCCTGCCTCACCACACACACCGCATGACATATTGCTATTGTGTTCCTAAGAGAACAGTTACTGTTGGAACTATTACTAAACGTCTCTTTCTCTGTCAAATTCCATTGTGGTTCACTTCCGTTGTGGCTTTTGTATTTGGCCTGAGACCTACGGGCCCCGTAGTTATCTACACTGAAGACAGGTGTGTGTGTGTGTGTGTGTGTGTGTGTGTGTGTGTGTGTGTGTGTGTGTATATGTGATTTTCCCATCTGACAGCTTTGTGAGAACCACAGAACCACAGGAGAAAAATAAGAACGAGACCGAAGTTTATTATTATTATTATTAGTAACCACAAAACAACATGAAGTTATGATTAGATTCTGTAGAAATATATGAAAAATACAATGAAACAGGTAACAGTGCTCTGCTCAACTGGACATCAGTGGTTGGACTGGTGTGAAGGTGTGAAGGTCTACCTCAGTGAAGAGTAGACGACCTCTGGCTCTGCTGGAAACTCTGAACACACAAACAGTTCAAACAACATGAGACAAAGAAACTCTGTCACCAGACAACAACTCTGCTTCTGAATCTGTTGCAAGGAAACATTTTTTGGGCTGTTCAGAGTGAGTGGGGAAATATCAGATTAATTTAAGTACTTCTCAGTTTACTACATTTTTAGAAAGCAGAAATTGTCAACAATGTTACATCTTTAGTCTTCAGACTAAAAGAGCCATATTTAGCCTGCTACTGCCGTCAGTAGAGATGCAACGATTACATTTTTCCTAACAGATTCAGATTTTTCTTTCTTCTAACAACTATAACTGACAGCATATACAATTTTCTCTCTTTATTAGGATCCCCATTAGTAATCATTTTGACAGGGATTCATTTAACTATCTTCATAATAAAACTCACTTTTAAATAACTTTTTAAACCTGCAGCAGGTTTCATGAAGGTAAGTTTATATTCTGTATTGTAAAATCATTTTTTTTTTACAGCAGCAGGTGAGTCGCGTGTGGAGGAAGCTGTTAATTATCAATCAATACCCCCCTGATGACGAATAACCCACAGGTGTGTTCAATGTTGCTTTACCTGGTCCGTGCTTTCAAAACATCCACCGTGTCCGTGTTGAGCTTGATTAATTGAGAGAGAGAGAAGGGGGGGCTGTGCAGCCTGTGCATGACCATTAGTGTAAAGGAGAGCTATTAACCTGCTTTTCTAGTCTTATATTGTAGTTCTATGAATCTATGTGGCAGCTTTGTGTGATTCAAAGTTCAAAAAAATATTTGTTTCTTCTTATACTGACTCTTCATTTCAGCCTCTGTCTGAAACAAGCTGTAGATGATCCTGTCTTTGACTGAGGTTACATGTATGCGGTAACCCAGTAGCATATATTTATCAAGTCAATTCAAATTAGCTTTATTGGCATGAATGTGTAACAACAATATTGCCAAAGCATCATACAAACTACATAACCGCATACAATATTTTTATCCTTATCTAACTTCATGGTGAATCATCTCAGAGTTAACATATTAACAAACAAGAAACCAACATGCAGATTACATAGTTCTAGTTAAAAATGATTTCTTTACAGTATGTCAGTATAATACTTATTCTTATTTATTTTAAAAGCCGCAAAGCCATTTAATGTTGTAATATGCACGTTTGCATTGTTATTTATGTTTATATATTTGTTAAATGTCTGTTTTATTATCGTATAACACAATTCACGTCTTTGAAAAAGTAGAATAGATAAACTAGCAGGTTATAGAAATCAAACTTAATGCAATCTGACTCCACTGTTGCATGACATCCAAATATGTGGCCAGTTGGTTTTTTGTGTGTATAAAAACTATTTTTTTACTCTAATTTTGAATTTATAAAACTGGTAATAATACTTAACTGTACACACTAATATTTTAACTGAGCGTCAGCTGTCTTGGATTGATGAGGTCATCAAGCAATAAATATTTGGAAAACAAGAGAGTAACCACGGTTACAGTGTTGGTATCAATCTTCTGACACTGTCCTCAAATGACTTGGAGAACGTAACCATGATATATTAAGCCCAAATGGAGTTAAAGTAACTGTACACAAATGTGGACATGATGCATGAAAGGGTTAATAAATAAAGAGCAGCTGTACCTCTCGTCCTTTGTGGTCTGATGGCTATTTGTCCATAATTGACGTCTCCTGCTCTTACTGCTGAGTAGACTGCAGCTGGATCACTCTCTGGAAAACAAAACACAGAAATTACATTACTGCAAATACTACAACTGATACCAGTGGTGTTAGTACATTTACTGCTGTACTAGTAGTACTGCAACGCATATAATACATGTAGACCAGTAATAAGTTTTATTAAAGGCTTCATAAATGACAGCAGAGCTGAAAGAACAAATATAACTGGAAAGTATTTGGCTGGAAAAGGAAGTTGGCTGCTCGCTTCTATTAATGCAAGTTCACACATTTCAGCAGAAGTCAGAATATAGACACGTCACCATCAGCTAAAACAGATCCCCCTATAGTGAAAAACCACCAGCATCAGACCAGAGTTCACTGAAACCAACAGGAGGAAGTTTCTGTGGTTTAATGTGCAGAATGGAAAAAGTATCTTCGTTCTGCTGAGTCCATCTTCTCTTTAATTTAAATCACTTACACACTTAATGTAATAACATTAAAACAAACATACATAATAATGTTTGAGTAAAACACAACAGTAAAACATTTTACACATATTTAGATCCTGTTTATGAGCAGAATGTACAGAGAAATGTAATTCTGCATATTTATAATTTATGTATGTTATTTTTTAAATGAACAGTCCTGCAGTGAAACATGTTCAGAGACACGTTCAGCTGAAGTTCTGTTTTTCTCAGAAATAGTAAACTGGACGACCACAGATCTGTTATCTTCTGTTAACAGATTCACCACAGGACACAAAACAGACTCACATACAACACATCAACAAAAACAGACTACGGTCTGAGACTTGGGGAAGTAAAACGATAAAATAAATGTAGTTTGACCAGGTCTCATGTGAAAGGTTTGTGTTAGTGTCCGATGTGTAATGTAAATTACATAAAATCTAAAAATAGAGAAAAATGATGATTTCAGAATAAAACTCATCAAATTACCAAAATATTTTTTTGTACTTCAGACCATCACTGACACAATTCATTATTTAGTCCCAAACATTTAGAAATGTTCACAGTAATCCTCATAATTCATAATGTCCTCTCCTTTAAAAATGTCCTGACTTTCTGAAACAATCTTTACTGACCTAAAACTAATTCTGACCCCAACACAATAAATAGCCTTATTATTTTAAAGAGATAGACAAGATGTTATCATATTGTATATTTTTTTTTAGTTTCCAAAAAACTAGACTTTACTCAAATTTCACAATGTGGACAATTTACAGAAATGTCCTCAACTTTTAAAGGTGGGGTGGTGATGGAGCAGTGAATGAGACACATACCTTTGGTGTGAAAGACCCGGGTTTGAATCCACTGTGAGACACCATTGTGTCCCTGAGCAAGACACTTAACCCCTAGTTGCTCCAGAGGCGTGTGACCTCTGACCTATAAAGCAATTGTAAGTCGATTTGGATAAAAGTGTCAGCTAAATGAATAAATGTAAAGTTCTGCCTGTCAGACTGGATTCAGGGTTATAGGCCTTAATGATCCTGAGTACAACTGCAGAGCTCAGATGTTTGATTCCCTGTAGCCGTCTCTCTCTGCGGCTTGGTCATGTATTATAACAAACCCTATCAGTTTCATAGTGGTGGGAAGACAGTGAGGGATCTCATCTTTTTTTAAAGTGCTGTATAATTAAATGTTCCTCTCGCTTCCTTGTCAGGCTTGAACCCTCAAAGTTGTCTCTAGTGGAACTTGCAAAAAAACTGCTACCAGGAACCACAACAGAGAAATTAACAGCAGGAATCACAAACCACTAAAGTACATCCTACACACCTTTTGGGCCATGAAAACCACATAAACATCATCCTGTTTTCTTCTCTAACAGATATTCTAGAGTTGGTTCACGATGGAAACAAAGAAGAGCAGCTGTACCTCTCGTCCTGTTTGATTTGATGTCTTTGATGACTATTTGTCCATAACTGACGTCTCCTGTTCCTCTCACTGTTGAGTAGACTGCAGCTGGATCACTCTCTGGAAAATAAAACACACACAGCTGATACCAGTACTGTTAGTACTACGCTACTACGACTGCAGCAGCCATTGTACAAAAAGTATTTAGATTAATATGATCCTATTATAATATATATTTCTGTACAGTATTTGAATAGGACATAATAGAAAATTTATTAATATGGCAGAAAATATCAGAATATAGCTGAAGACAGACGTGTAGGAGTTAAACTGAAGAACATTTTACATTTTGACAGTTTTTTTCTTGTTCACACTGCTGCTGCTGTGAAAGCTGAAAAGAGACCAAACACAAGTGAAGCTGATTTATCTGAGTCGAACGACCACAGAGCTGCTGGCTGTGATCAAGATCAACGTGTTCTGCACAGGATGAACATGTTGACTCTTTCTGACTTTGTTTTTAGCACCTTGGACTGTGAGAAACAGCATTTTGTTCATGTATACTCAGTATGTGGATGAAATATAAATAAATAGAATAAATTAACTTGATTTCAGGACGTCACACAAGCTGAATTATTTACTGTGTTACAGTGAAACTTTGAATTTAAAATTTGTATTTTTTATTTAAAGATCCATATAAAATATTGGTGTCACTTCAATATAAACATATTGTGACATGGGGAAAACATTTTTTCCTTGTGTGCTTTTGCAGATACAAGCTTCATGAACTGAATTCACTGATCTGCAGCTACTCAGGAATATATGGTGAAAACAGTTCTAGGTGGGGCTGAGCCATATTCAGTCAGTTTCAGGTAACATCCCAATACAGTTTAACAGAAACTGCAGGACACCAGCGCTCTGTCAAGTAGTCAGTGATTATTTAATGCCACTGTTACAAAGTTGATGCATTCTTAAACACAAACATAAACAGTCTGTTGCACAAACAGTAACATTAGCAGTGCTGACTGAAGTTTTCAAATCCTTACCTTAAGTAAAAATATATAAAGAACTACAACAGATGGAAGAAGCTTCCCGTTGGGACCCTACATGCAGATTTCTGCAGAAAACATTTACATTTATTCATTTAGCTGACGCTATTATCCAAAGCGACAAGTGCCTCTCCTACAAATGCGTGCAGGTCAGAATTAGTTTCCACTGATAATAGTGGCACTAAACTTCCTGATGCACCTCAGATCAAGTCCCCAAGACTCTTAAAACCCAAGAGCTGAACCCAGAAAATAGTTCTTTATGCCTGCTAATCCTGAAACTAACAAACCCTGCAACATGTCATACAAACCTTTCTCAAGACAGCACTGCTTTACAAACACCAATTAGAATAAACCAAATGAACACTCATAGCTAAAAATACTAAATGCTAAAAATACTTGTTTAAACATCAGGAGGAAGAGACAAAAAACACACTAGTTATCTGGTCCTAAACTAAAATTAAAGGGCTGGATATCTATTTTCATCATTTCACCAGGGGTGTCTGTATTGAGCAGGTCAACGGCTGTGCCAGAATTTTTTTCAATTAAACAAAGATAAAACTGAAGTTATTGTTTTTGGAGCCAGGGAGGAACGATTGAAAGTCAGTGCTCAGCGTCAATCTGTAATGTTAAGAACCACAAATCAAGCCAGAAATCTGTAGTCATGGACTCAGACCTGAATCTGAGGAGACACATTAAGACAATTACAAAGTCAGCCTACGATCACCTGAAGAATATATCAAGGATTAAAGGACTTATGTCTCAGCAGGACCTGGAAAAACTTATCCATGCATTTATCTTCAGTCGACTCGACTACTGTAACAGCATCCTTACAGGGCTCCCTAAGAAATCCATCAGACAGCTGCAGCTGATTCAGAACGCTGCTGCTCGAGTCCTCACTAAGACCAAAAAGGTGGATCACATCACTCCAGTTCTGAGGTCTTTACATTGGCTTCATGTATGTCAAAGAATTCATTTCACAATCCTGCTGTTAGTTTATAAAGCACTAAATGGTTTAGGGCCAAAATACATTTCTGATCTTCTGCTTCGTTATGAACCATCCAGACCTCTCAGGTCGTCTGGGATCAGGTCTGCTTTCTGTCCCCAGAGTCAAAACTAAATAAGGAGAAGCAGCGTTCAGTTATTATGCTCCGTATATCTGGAACAAACTCCCAGATAACTGCAGGTCTGCTGAAACTGTCAGTTCTTTTAAATTAAGACTGAAGACTTTTCTTTTTACCACAGTTTTTAATTAAATATTTAAGATTTTTCTTTTTACTGATAACTTACACTGCACTCTCAGCCCCCCGACCCACAAAGCTGGCAAGGTGCTTGACCTCCTTCTTGTCCGAAACTGTGCCACAGAGTGCCTAACAGTCACACCTCTACATGTGTCAGACCACTATTTCATTCAGTTCACGGTATGTCTACAGGAACAGCTCATTCTTCCAACACCATTGGTTTCACACCGCCGCAACCTCCACAACCTCCACAACCTCCACAACCTGTCTGCCGCTCACTTTGCCTCAGTGGTAGCTTCCGCTCTACCCTCCCTCAACACATTTTCCTCACTTGAGGTCAATGATGCCGCACAATCTCTGTGCTCTACGCTAAGCTCGTGCCTGGATATCCTGTGTCCTCTATCCACCAAGCCTGCTCGCCCAAACCAGCCCCACCCGTGGCTAACTGATACCATCTGTGGGCCCCCGCCGAACTTAAGGGCTACCAATAGCTCCTGTCCTCCTTCTCAACAAGCATCAGTGCTGCCAAAACTGCGTTCTATAATGACAGAACAAGCAGTGCCACTGACTCAAGGACATTATTTTCCACTTTTAAAGCGCTACTAAATCCTCCTCCACCTCCACCACCCACAAACTTGTCTGCTGATACTTTTGCTGCCTTCTTCACAGGCAAAGTGGAGGCTATAACTAGCCAATTCTCTGAAACACTCAACCTCAACCATTGTAGCAGTCCTACTACATCTTTCCTCTGCCCTCCCAGGTCAGTGGTTGTTCACTCTCCTCTCACAGAGAGCAAAGTATCAGAACTCTTGACCCGTAGCCGTCCAACTACATGCCCGCTGGACCCGATTCCTACGAATCCCTACGATTCCCTTATATAAGCATCTGCTCTGCAGGCAGAATAACAAAGCATAAGATTGAAATATCCAGTGTAATACATTTTTTATTACAATGTTATTACAACCAACATCATCAAATGTATAATTAATGAATTAATCGATGTAAAATGAGTGAAAATTACGTTAACAGCTTTTGATCAGTACATAAACCTAATGCTCAACACCAAGAAATGGCATGACGGGATTCCATAATGGTTTGATGCTGCTTCAAGGCAACATTTCCATTTGAACTATTTTCCATTATATAATTATCAAATAAATTATATTAAACAATTAATAATGCAACTTTACTCACTTATTATTGTGAATATAATTTTTCTGGGTCAAAAATATATTTTGAGGGCAGTGTAATGCAGCAGTAAAAAGATGGGCGCCAGAGCATCATGTGACAAATTTTAAGACTGCTACTGGTTTCCTTAAGGCCCTGTAACTGTTTTGAAGTAATGCATCATATTTTGTGATGTTTGGTGGAGGTGTACAAGGGCAAAAAGGGTATGTTGCCCAGAGGCAACAGCGTACCATAGAGGAACTTAATAAATTAAGAATAATCCCAGGAGAACGACAGATGGCAAACATTGTTGCCAAGTATGTGTCCTTGTGTCCCAACCTGAGGGACAGCGAGTGACTCAGCCAACAATATGCGTGGCAGGTTACATCTAGTTCACTGTTATTTTTAGTTTACGTTCTGTTTTTTTTTGTAATTTATAACTGCTAAATTGAATGGTCTTGATTGGATATATCTTGTTATGTCATTGTTATGTTATATTGAAATGTAAACTTTTGGCAAAATTGTGTAAATAAAACATTCATGCCAATAAAGCACACTGAACTGAACTGAACTAAATGATCAGGAAAATGTACTTGAAGTATTAAAAGTAAAAGTACTCAAAGCAGAAAGCAAAATGTGCCTTGTGACTTTCATACTATTATATATTGATTATTATTATACATTAGATTATTATTACTCATGCATTAATGTAGTTGGTTGAGGTTGAACTGTTTTGTCTCAGGCTGCAAGTAATGATTATTTTCATTGTGGATTAATCTGCTGATTATTTTCTCCATTAATCGATTGTAAAAACAGTGAGAAATGTTCTCACAGTTACCGAAAGACAATTACCATAGTAAACTAATGTACCAGCTGTCTATAAACTGTTGGGTAGTTTCATTTATAACAAATATTTATGTGTTTTGTGTGTTAAAATCTTTCTTTGTAAAGTAACTAACTGATTAAATGTAGTGAAGAAAAAAAGTATAACATTTCCCTCTGAGATGTGGAGTAGAAGTAGAAGGTGCCAAAAAAAAGTACAAATACGTCTAATTTGTATTTGAGCAAATGTACTGAGTTACTATCCATCACTGAACATAACAAACACACTATTAAGTCATAATATCACTGAAAAGTGCCATATATTGCTGAATGATGTCTCGTGCTAAGGTCAACTATGTACAATGAAAAGGTGGGTAAGGGGAAAGTGTGTGTGTGTGTGTGTCTGTGTCTGTGTGTGTGTGTGTGTGTGTGTGTGTGTGAGAGACATGTTATTTGTATTTTGTCCTTCTGTCTTCATCAATATGGCAGCAAATATCAGCATACAGCTGAATTTAACTGGAATGCAATTCACATTTTGGCAGTATATTTCTTAAGACTGCTGCTGCTGTGAAAGCTGAATATAGATGAACATGTCGACTATTTGTGAATTTATTTTAAACACCATGGACTGTGGGAAACGACATTTCATTAATTTGTATACTCGGTATGTGAATGAATGAAAAATAAACAATCTTGAACTTGATGTCAGGACGTCAAACAGACTACGGAATTATAAAGTTTATGAAAGTGAAGTCCAAATGTGAGTCAAAATATTGACTTAAATATTAAGATCCATGTCACAAAATGGAAAAGAATAAAGGGTAATTTACTATTTACATTAAATAAACAAATCAATAATAAACACATAAGCTTACTCACGCTTATGTGTTTATCAGAGCATTTACAATTCATTCATTTTATATCTTTATTATTATAATATTTATTTTTAACAGTCCTGCAGTGAAACATGTGCAGAAACACGTCAGGCTGAAGTGTTTTTATCAGAAAGAGGAAACTGGACGACTGCAGAGCTGCTAGCGTCTGTTTGCAGATTCACCACAGGACACAAAACAGACTCACATGCAACAAACACAAGGGTGTGAATTTAATCTAACGGGGGGGGGGGGGGGGGGCTTGTAGAGAAAGAGTTTGTAACTTGTTATTATTTTTACGTCCAGAAGTGTTAATAGAAATGTATCAACAGTAAAATGTGACTTTAAATGTGAACTGCAGCACATGGAGTCTGTGACTAACCTTTAGGTTTCCTGTGGAGGCATCGTCTCACCAGTAGAACCAGAAGAACCAGTACAACCAGAACACAGAAAGATAGAACAGTAGACCACAACAAGGGGAGAGGAGGAGAGGAGTAACCAGGAGGAAGGGTGGTTGAGGAAGAGGAGGGGGAACCAGGAGGAGAGGGGGTTGAAGGAGGACTTGTAGTGGTGGGTTTCACTGAAATGAACAAGAAATTATAATTAAAGGCACAGAAAATAAAATAAATGGACAATTTATTCATCATGCTAACAGAAAGACACAGAAGTAAATTCATAATGTCAGTCTGGTTTAGAGTTAAAAAGACCACAAATCAAACGGTGGATTGAACTCTGACAGATTTCACTCTTGTTTCTTTGCAGATTGCAAAGTTAGAAATGTTGTCACATCATGAATCATCTCTGCCGTCCTGAAACCTGCTGAACTCAATGTAGAAAACAAAACCAGGTCAGTTTGAGAATTATCTTTGAGCTCCTCACCTGTGACAGAGATCCAGCTGGATGGAGACTCTCCACGACCTCTGATGTCACACTTGTAGAGGCCTTCATCAGACTTGTTAACATGGTGGATGGTCATGTGACCTGTAGGCTCAGTCCTGATGAGGGAGCCATCTTTATAGAAACCAGCTGGGAGGTTGGAGGGAGGGGTCTTTGTTTTACAGTGCAGAGTGACATCATGTCCCTCCATCACAGGGAGGACAGGACTCTGCAGGATCACTGGTCCACCTCAACACAGAGACAAACTACAGCATTTCATCATTTACACACAGCTTCATCAACACTAACTCCACAGTCTGATCTTACCAGTGACAGTGATGTTGATGGTGTTACTGGTTGCTCCCTCTCTGGACTCACACCAGTAAACTCCACTGTCCAATGGGGCGATGTAGCTGATGTTACAGGAAGAACCAGCTGATGTTCCCCAGCCAGCTTCACAGAGTCCTGGATCCTCTGGTTGTGTTCCTCCTCAGCGTCCATCCAGCAGAGCTGTCGTCCTCCTCACAGCTCAGAGAGACAAACTCTCCTTCAAACAGCTGAGAGCTGCTGGGACTCACAGTCAGAGAGGCTGGAGGGGATACGTTACATTTTTGGTGAAATGACCAAATGTCTCACAGTAAAATCTTGACACTTTGTTGGGAACGACAGGATATGCTAAACTAATCAGCACCATGTGGTTTCTGACACACTGGGCAACAGTATTTTTCAACAGCACAGTTGGCTTGAAGTAATTAGCTCAGGGAAAAGGACCAGTCTTTTATTGTCATTAATTATTTCCAACCAGCCCAGAAAGAGAAATAGTTTTTTAACCATTTGTTAATTATTAAAAACAACAATAATGGAAATACAATCATTTATTTCATTTATATTGTTGGACAGAATTAAGGGAGGAATTGATGATGACTGACTGAAGATTCAAATTTTGCACCTGCTGCATTATGAAGATTCACTATATTTTTGGATGTGATTTTTATTTGTTAAATTGAGTTATTTATGTCATGTATTTTTAAATTTAAGGTGCCCTTCCAGTCAAGAAAGTGGAATGCAGACATATAGGGCTGCCCTACATGCTGGAAAATAAGTTGTCTTTGAGTGAAATCTAAAAGGTTAAATACTTCCTATAAGAGCAGAAAATTGTTTTATTATTTACTTATAATCCTTTACACAAGTACTTACAGGAGTGCTATTTTTCTCCTTTTATTCTGTTTTATATATTGTTTTAAATCTTTAACCTGTTCCATCTTTATTATTGTTCTTGTTATTCCAGTCTGTCCACATGTGTGGGGTTTAGGTCAGGGATGTGGGGTTGTTGATTGTTTTCCTCGCTAGCTGCTCTTCTCCTTCCTTGACTGGGACCAGTCAAAGATCTTTTGTTCTCCAAAACATAGAAACCCAGACTGTGTAAATGATCATGCAGCCCTTTGCTCAGGGCCAGATGTTAGTGACGTAGTACTTCTCTGTTTATTCTCTTTTGTTAAATAAATTCTTCAAAGACAACGGTTCATTGTAACTCAATTATTTGCTCAACCTCTCACCAGGAATATAATTTCCACCACAGTTCCCTGCATGTTTTTATCACAGGTGTAATAGTTAATAGTCTTTGACCTGTTTGACCATAAATGCATCACAGCTTGGTGCTCTTTTCTCAGACAGCCTGAGACTGCCTGCGAGAGACTTCTGGGAGACTGCGGCTTTGGTGATTAAGTGGCAGTGTTACCAGGAATAAAATGAATGCAATTTATCCAACATGTGGAAAAAGGAAACTAGAGGTGTGGTGACCTTTGAGTTTTTCCATTTTTAAGCATTTAATGAAACTAATTGGATTGTTGGAGCTTCACTTCAACATACAGGAAGGGACAAATTCCTTTTGTCAAATAAACACTATATACCAATTAAGTTCTTTTAGTCTTCTGTGAATTTGATTTATTTCATAACTGAAGGCTCAAATCTCAGATCTGACTGACCTTACATCCTGGTAACTTGTTTTTAGCAACCTGATCTCATCTCAGGTGTCATATATACACGCTTGGGAAAAAACGTGGCTATTGTACACAAAACGGCGATTTTGCGTGTGTATGATACGCTGCAGTTTGCAATAGCGTTGCAACACAAAGGAGCCAGTCGACATGCATATATTCACTGATATATTCACTTCTCACTAACTTCTGTGACGGTTATGACGCCCCCAGGGGCTTTGTGTACAATAGCCATGGTTTTCTCAAAGTGTATATACGACGCATCAGAACAGGCTGGTTTTTAGAGACTGTTGTCTTGTTAGTTTTACTTAAGTCTGTTTCTGAATAGTGTAAATGTTCATTTAGTTAGTAAATGTTAAAACATTCTCAGTATGTGTTAGTGTCTTTTTGTGTTCAATCTCTTTAAAGAACAACATTTTATATGACTTTTTACCAGAAAGCGTTATGCGAACAGCTTTGAGTGTCAGAGTTCACTCACCTCTGCTGGTCCTGCAGTTCAGCAGAGAGATCAGCACTGAAGAGAAACCAGACATTTAACATAAAGCCAGACCAGACAGAGAACTGAAAAACTTCCTGCTCCATAAATACTCCAAAATCTTCTAGTCCTAAATGAATGCACCATGTGGATGTTAAATGTCTGTCTGGTTCAGGTTGAATAAAGAAAGATAAAAAATTACTTTTTCCCTGTGGTGATCAATAAAGTCAATCTACGGGTGAACAATAACAGTTTACAGTTATTTCAGTTTTGTCAGATTGTACTTACAGAGCAGAAAAGACGTCCGTCCCATTGCACCACCACTCAGTCAGTCCAGTTAAACTCTCCTCCTTCCTCTTTGTGGGGTAGTGACTGTGTGGGTTTCTCTCCTTCATTTAAGATATAGTTTTTTTTTCTTCACACACTCAACAGATCATCAGGAGACATGGGGCCCTACACAAAGAGTTTAATCACATGCAGGAAGTGTGACAGCGCTGCAGGCTGAACATGAAGGAGGTCTAATCTGAGATCACTGAGAGACAGATTCATTAGAAACAAGGATGTAAAGTTCCTCAGTGGAGTTTCTCTCCACTCTGTAAATATCTGTGTGATGAAGATTTCACTTTAGATGAAACTTTCCTGAGTTTCTCTCTTACTTCTGTTGTTGTTGCAGTGACACAGATGTCCTGCAGGAGTCAGTAATGAGTGGCTCATATCTGATGTTTAATTATCAGTGTGAGTCCTGTTTTACATTTACCATCTGGACTTCTGCTGCAAAATGATGCAACATAAATGATGCAACCTCTACAGAAAAACACCCAGGAGGATCCTGATCAGATACCTGAACCACCTTTCATATTGAAAGGAGCAGATGAGGTCTGCTCCACTGGTCTCACATTAAATCATATTTCTAGCATTAACCTCTGACCATCTTACAATCATAATGGACATTAATATCCCCATTTTCCACCCCAAAAGTGCAGCACACTCTCCGTCACTGTCTTGTTTCTCACCTCTGTCTCCTTTAGAACTGTCACAATTCACCACAAAAACTCCACCTGCAGCTTAGACCCCATACCATCATCCCTAATCAAGACCTGCCTTCCATCCATCACCTCACTCATCATCAAAATCATTAATTCCTCCCTCACATCTGGATCAGGTCCCCACAACACTCAAAGTTGCAGCTGTCATCCCCATCCTCAAGAAACCTGGTCTCAACCCGGACATCATGTCCAATTTCCGACCCATCTCCAATCTCCCCTTCCTGGCAAATTCAAACCCAGTTCATCAATAAACAGTTCATCAATATCAATAACTGCACCTCCTCCACTGCTCCTTGGTCACAAGGCATCCCCCAAGGTTCGGTGCTTGGTCCTCTCCTGTTCATTATTTACATCCTGCCACTCAGTAACATCATACGTAGAGATGGTCTCCACTTCCACTGCTACGCTGATGATGTCCAGATCTACATCTCCACCAAATCCATCACCACAGTTACCTCTGCAACTCTGACCAGATGCCTCACCGACATACAAACCTGGATGCAAACCAACTTCTTACAGCTCAATTACAATAAATCTGACATGATCATCATCGGCCCCAAATCACTCACAAAAAACACCAACAACTTCAGCCTTTCCATCAACAACCCCACCCTGTCTCCATCCCCACACATCCGCAACTTTGGAGTCATCTTTGACAGCAACCTCACTTTTGAACATCAACCATGTCACCAGGACTGCCTTCTTTCACCTCAAAAACATTGCCCATCTCGCTCACCTTTTCTGCTGCCAAAACCTGATCCACGCCTTCATTACATCCAGAATTTACTACTGCAATAGCATCTTCTATGGTTCACCTGCCAAAGCCCTAAATAAATTTCAATATATCCACAACTCTGCTGCCTGCCTCCTCACCCACACACACACCCGTGAACACATCACCCCTGTCCTCCAGAATCTTCACTGGCTCGCTGTTCCCCAATGCATTGAGTACAAAATCCTCCTCCTCACACATATAAGGTCCCTTCCTACCTCACAGACCTGCTCCACCACCACCATCCCTCCCGCAACCAACCAAATCAGGACCAAGCACCGTAGACCTGGGGCGACAGAGCTTTCACCATTGCAGCCCCCTCCCTACGGAACTCCTTACCCATACACATCCGAGATTGCAGCGACATGG